ACCAGGTCTAAAGCCATCTATGTCTCTGACTTCCTTTACATTCAGGCTCAGCCCCTCGGACACCGGAATACTAAAGACAGAGGCTCAACACGCATGCACCCGGGTGCAGGACTACGATGCCCGTCTCTTCTCCCTTAGGGACTGCCTGGCCGTGGGAGGGGGGTGGAGGGAGGGAGCTATACTGCAAGCAACGTCCAAGCTGAGTGTGCAAGGACGAGTAGGGAGCCGGCCACATCACAGAGGCGGCGAGGGAAAAGGTTCCAGCAGAGAGAACAGCGCTGGCGAAATGAAGAAGGTGACAGCATGGGGACCTGTGGGCACGTGAGACGGCTGCTGGCCATGGAACATGGAACACAGGATGCAGGGGAATGACTGGAGGCCTAGCCGGGTTGGGAGCAGTGGGGAGGGTGGGAGGTGGGGTCAGACAGCGAGAAATCTCACGGGTCAGGCCTTCATCAAGGGTGCGGTGCTCGGGGACCAGTGGGCTTCAGGAGGGTAAAGCTCCTGGAGCGAAGGTGTGAGAGGGGCCTCCTGAGACTGGGCCCCAGCAGTGGGGATGGAGAGCCGCAGAACAGGAGAAAGGAACGACCCCGTCCTCCAGGCGGCAGGTGGGGGTGGGACAGAGGTAGCAGGATCCCAGCTCCCACTGCACAGGCTGGACCTCTCAGGCTCAGAAAAGAGCAGAACCTTTTCTAGAATCTTCCAGAAGCCGTGTTCCCACCTCCCTCCTCCCAACTGCCAAGCTCTGCCTTGGGAGCTCCGGAAGCCAGACCTATCGTGATGTCCCCTTAGGAATCCAAATCACGTGATCCCCTTTGCACCTACAACACCCTTCACCCAGGCCCCGAGCCCCGTGGCTGGCTGCCTACCTCTCCCTTGCTCTAAGTCTGGCTGTCATCATCCCTCTGGCTGGCCTCTGCCCCGGGCCCTGAGAACCCAGCGTTAGACCAGCCTCGGTTCCAGTCTACTGAGTCGAGTCTGGGCTGGACTTGCAGGCAGTCCCTGCACAGTCGGGGATGGGAGCAGGGACACGGGGATCCGCCTGAAAACCGGGGAGCGTGTGATCACAGGGTGCTGGGAAGGGCTGTTCAGAAAGGTCGCACCAGTTCCTCCTTTGTCCACTGGGTGTCCACAGGCCGGAACTGCCTTTCACAAGGACAATGGAGAATGTTGGCGGCTCTGACTTTATAGCCTACTTATCTTGGCCAACTCCTTTCTGTGAGACACAGTGGCCAAAGGCAACAAGACAGCTGGAGAATTTGGAAGCAGGCCAGTGAGACCTCTGGGACCCCCGGTGGGTGAGCGGGGA